CCACCCCGCCGTGGGAAGTCCACACCAGCCTCCGGTTTCATCTCAGAAACACTTCAGCGGCAGTGGCAGCGGCAGCGGCAGCAAATTCTCTAAGACAAACTAGGGCTGGAGACTGTGTTCTTGTTTTTGATAAACATATATTTTTAAACCAAAACAATTAAAAAGACACCCACCTAAGCTGAATTCTAAAATGGGTTCATCTGGATCTTGTAGATTTCCTAAATAAAAAAGACATGCCAGAAAAAAGTCACCCTTAAGCAACAGTTCCCTTTTAGAATTTATGCAAAAAAACCCCCACACACTTGTAATCATTTCACAGTATTTGTAAATCAAACCGTCATGCTGCATACCTTAAACTTACACAGTGATATGTATCAATTATTTCTCAATAAAACTGAGGGGGGGACAGGACTCCAACATTCTACTTTATTTTTCCATGCAAAATTGTTATGCAAGATGATTTCTTCATTCTATAAATATTTTGTTTTCAGATTCCTAAGAAGTCTCAGACCCCAAAACCAAACCCCTTCCTTTCCAGGTCTGCATATCCACAACAGGCAGGGCTTTTACTGTGGCCTGGACACTGGCCAGACAGGTCCGGTGGACACTCCTACATTATCTCCTGGCCAACCAGCCTTGAACGAATCCACCCAAACTGGAAACCTGAGAGCAGGCTGGTTCCCAGGGAGAGTGCCGGCTCTCCCTCTCTATTCTGACTCAACCAGAGGATGCCATACTAGGGCACCCTCCAGCCTGGGGCAGTCACAGGGGGCTTATACTGGCTGTTGAGCAGGTGCCCCAGGAGGCACACTTGGCCCTCCCAGAACTACCACTATGTGGGACCCACCAGGAGCCAGCCCCCGTGAGGCTCACCTGCCAGAGAGAGGCCAAGCATGTCAGCTGCCACATCAATGGTGGAAGCCCGCTGCATTGCACGGGCCCTGGCGCTATGGCGAGGGCTGTGCTCTCTTGCTGTCATGATGTCATTGGCGATGATGTGCTTCCTGCTCCTGGATCAGACCACGCCTGATTCCCTGGGAAGAGCTGTCACCCAGCCCTAGAACCCTAAGGTGGCAGTAGTCCTGAGAAACAGGAATGAACACTGGTAAGAAGCACAGAGATAGTGGTAGAAAGACACTGAGATCGTGGAGAGAATGTGACCTAACACGAGCAGGTGCAGCAAGACCAGGGTTGTGGCAGGTAGGGGCCGGGGTGAAGGAGAGTCTGATGGTCTAAGTCTATTTAATCACCACTACCTCTGTACTTCCCAGTACCTGCTCACACACACACCAACACAGCATGCCTGTGGGACCCATACAGAAATCGTGTTCTGACAAAGATATGCCACCTTAAACGATGGTTTACGTATAATCATAAAATACGGCTTTTGAGATTTTACTTCCTTTATTATGTTTTTCCATTGGCGAGTCTCATAGAATTTCATAAAATTTAAAGCCAATTCACTATAACCTCTGTTAGAAGGATACAGATTCATGAAGGGGTTTGCCACCCTGGCCACCAAAGCATGGTGGGACATGCGACAGACAAAAGCATGTGTCCTCCAACCTTGCTCTCTTTCTTCCCAGAGCTACAGGCACTTCATGTGGGTCTCGGTCTTGGGCTTTCCTTCCCACGAAACATACAGGTGATCCTCTATGCCTGACTAATGCAGACAGTGCTGTGCCGTGGAGGTGAACATCTCTGTGAAAACGGCCACTGTGGGCTGGACCAGAGAGCACAGAGCTCATTTTGCTCTAAGTGGGATGAGCGGCAAGAAGTGAGCCCATTTTTCTAACCCTAGACACAATAATCCCTGCTGCATCTAGAAGGAGCCACCCTTTAGAAGTTAAGATAATTAAACTGAGCAAAGCTTCCAATTTCCAGAGGTGTCAACACCTCTGTACCTGAAGGGCCCATGTTCCTGCTCTTGAGTGAGTTCACCCAGCAACTTACTGGACATGTTTGTTCTGGATCAGTAGAGACACGTGGCATTTCTTCATAGAAGCACGTCGAAATCCATCATCTAAAAATAGAAAATTATAAACTTAGGCTAGTCAACACGTACAGAGTTCTTATGAACACATAACACATACGCTTTAATTCCAATACCTAGAAGTATGGGGAAGCTGAAAGCTACTTCACGTTCCTTTGAGCTCTACACACCAACCTAACCTTTTCGCTCAAAAATAAAGGTTTTGCTCAAAGCATGAGAAATAGAAAGTATACACTCCTATGACCCTCCAGGGGTGAGCCAGGGGAACCTGGGCCAGCCCTAAAGTGCGATGTGAGCAGTGGGGTGGTTTAGGGAAAATAAGGAGGTAAGAATCTGAGCCCCGGTCTTCCCGCTTACAAGTCTCAGGTCTGGGATAAGCTGCTGGACCCCTCTGAGGCTCTGCCTCTTGGTGTCTAAGATGAGGCTAGTTGTACCCACCTCACAGGGCTGTAGTGAGAAACAAACGTGTCACAGCGGGAGATGGCTCTGCAAACTCCACTGGGCTCCCCAAACTCCGCTGGCATCTCACCCTGTTGCTACAGCCCGGCCCACGGGCACCCTGCTGTGGAGCAGGACACCCGACTCTGATTCAGTCCCAGCACTGCTGGGAAGCTGTTGGGGTGAACCTCAGGGTCCCACACATGAGCCCTCTGAAAATGTCGGGGCCTGGGTTGTAGACCACAGGAAGAGCAGTGCTCTCAGCTCTGGGGCAAACTCAGTCCCTTGAGGTTGTGTTCCTATCCCTCCCACTGCAACACCTTTAACCTGGGTACCTCAGCAGAAAGGGCCATGGTCTGGCTGGGGAGTTACACTAGAAATCACCAGGGAAAGGCTCATCAGTTTGCCGAAATTAAAAAGCATACAAGTCTCCCTGGCCAGCGTGGCTCAGTGGTTAGAGCACTGCCCCACGTACAGAAGGGTCTTGGGTTAGATTTACTGGTCAAAGGCACATATGATGAAAATGGCAAAGTACGGGGAAGCTGAAAACTATTTCATGTTCCTTTGAGCTCCTAGATACTTGCAGTACTAGTATCTGTTAATTTGTAATGTACAAATTAATTTTAAAAACTCACTAAAATCCAAGTAGCAAAAGATAAGAATTCTTAAAAGAGTAATACATGTGGGTAAACATTTTGAAAAGTGACCAAACTCATAATAATTAAAGCAATGCTTACCACACCTATATTCCCCTAAATTAGTCCTCTAAAAGCAGTGTGTTCCTCTATCCAGAATATTCTTGGTTGGAGGACCTAGGGGAAATTCCATAGGACTCCTGTTTTACTGATAACATTTTAGAGTGCTACAAGCATTTTGCAAAGCAATCTGATATTATTTATCAAAATTTGTCCACAACAAAATTCTTGCCAATAATCCAAAGATGCTTATTGCAGCATTACTTGTAATGACAAACACTGAAACCAATCACTGCACTTGAGTCCATTCTGCAACATCTCTAAGACACCGGCGATCATAATAAAGCCAATAATCACACAAAAGGTACTTCCACCTCATCAGTCACCAGGAAAAGGCACATAACAGCCATGAGATATCACTGCACACCCACTAGAATCGCTAAAATGAAAAGACAGACAATACCAAGTGGCGGCAAGGATGTGGAGTAATGGAACTGGATATACTGCTGGAGCAGCCACTCTGGAAAACACAGTATCTACTCACACTGAACACACAACTACCCCAGGATTGGGAATTGCTAAGAGAAATGTATACTTATATTCCCCCTAAAAGGTGTGAAGAACATTTAGAGCAGTAACATTCATAACAATCAAAAAATAGAAACAACTCAAATGTCCAGCAACAGCAGAATGGACAAAACAACACAGTGACTCCTAGAAACGAAGTCAGGGGGAGAGCCAGACACACAGGGTGCATCTAGGCAACTGCACTTTCACAAGGTTCAGGCACAGCCCAAAGAGCTCACTCTGAGGGGTGAGTACTGGTGCATGAGGTAGGAGTTAGGGGGCATGTAAGGAGGCTGGGGGGCCAGGGGCTTTGCCTCCCACTTTGGGTTCCGTGAGTGAATTTACTGTGTGAAATTCACTGAGAGGCATACCAACAATTTTTATACCTCAATAAAAAGTTTAATTCTTGTAATGGCTGCAATAAAGACAACACAGTATGAAAAAATGTTTATGTCAGTCCTGCATCTTGTGGGGTTTTCATGGACTATTCCACCTGTGTTCTGGTTATAGCCCTTCCTTAAAAAGATGTGACAGAGGCAAAGAGCCAGCAGTGGGCCACAGCAAGCCAGTGGCCATCTGGGGGCATGACCACGGGGAACTGCTCCCTTTCTTACCTGTCATCCCCTTGCATCACTGAAAACTGCAATCCCATGCTGGCCAGAGGCTGAGGGGCACCCTGGAGGTGAATCAGCCAGAGGAAGGAGTTCTTTCTTGAACCTCCCTCCAGCTACTGAAGTTGCAGCCACCTCCCCCTTCAGCTGAGACAGCAGAGACATGTCACCTATCACAGGGCTACATCTATACCCTGACATCTCAAAAGCCCAAGGGAGGCTCCCATCCCCCATCCCTCCTCCCCTTGCAGGGTCCCTGCCCACTCCACCCACCTGCCCCTTCCCCTAGGAGGGAGGTTACTATTATAGGCATTATGAGATTCTGGGGATAGAAATGCTTAAAGGGGAACATCTACAGACTAATTTTACACTTGATACGTCCATAGATCATAGAAGCTTTTAGGTCAAAAAGACCTCAAAAGCTACTTCGTGGTTACTTGGGGGCATTTAATTAGAATCTGCAATTTAAGTCATCAAGACCCAGAACAAAACGCTAATTTGTACAGCTGAACTCGATTACCTTATTAGTCTCATTAATTTAAGGTAATTCACCAAGGACTCCTATATTCCCATGGTCCCCATTTTTTTCCTCATTTCAAGGTTGAAGCTCATTAGAAGCAAAACTACACTAAAAATAAAAAGGAGAGAGGGTGTGGGAGCTGTTTGGAGGACAGGGTGGGGTAGGGAGGTGAGAAGAAAGCAGGAGCATTCAACAAAGGAGCTATCTCCACCTCCTCACTCTGAGACACATGGTCCCTTCTGACAGGACACTGGCCATCGAATCAACAGCCCGAGTGAGGCAGGCGATGAGGGCGGAGGGCCATAGGCAAGGCAGAGAGAGAGGCTCTGATTCACACGCCTTCATGGGACCAGCGAGGTGGCCATGGCTTTCAGGAGCTTCATGCGACCACGAGGTGGCAATGGCTGCCAGGGGCTTCTCCAGAAGCCAGTCTTGCCCTCCTCCAGAGACCAAGAAACCAAAGGCTAGAAAGGGACTCTGGAGGACACTCTGGCTCAGTAACCTCCTGGGGAGGGCTAACCACAGAGCCCCATCTTTAACCATCTTATACACTGGGGTTCTCTGAGAATAATCTTAAAAAGGAGATGCAGAGACGAGGTCACAGAAGTCCAGACTGGGCAACTGACTTTCTCAGGGTCAGACGGAGGTGCAGGATGAACTATGAGAAACAACCCAAAGCCAAAAGCCCACATACAACTGGGGCCGTCCTCCCTGCCCTTCGTAGCCCAGCCACCTTCTGGCTGTTGCTGGGAGCCAAGGGGCTAACGGCAAGCCTTCACTGGGCCTCGCTCTCCTAACAGGCAGCAGGAGAAAGTCAGACGAGAAAGGCTGCGTGAGTCAGCGTGTGACTCAGCAGCCCTGAGGAGGAGGCCACCTCAGCAGTCAGAAAGAGGAAGAGCTTTCTCTCAAAACCCCGAAATCCAGGACAGCCACAATCACTGCGATGAGGCACCCCACGGCTCACTGGCACTCAAACCTGAGAGACGGCCACTGCCCACCTCCCACACCAAGCCTGTCCTGCACACAGCCCCAAGACCCACAGCCTGTCCTCCCAGAGGTGCCCTGGCACGCCGTGGTCTGTCCCTCCAGGATGACCCGCTGGGACCCTGTGTCTTATGAATGCCAGACTTAACTCCCTGTTTCTGCCACATCTCCTGGTGCAAAGACCAGGTTTTTAGACAAACACTTTCTAGTAAACAAACTCTCAACACCTGCGGCGACTGTATTTGCAGCAACTATATTTGCTCACCTGCGTCTGGCTTTTTGCTGCCTTCCAGACACCCAACAGGTAACATGACAGCCCCTTCCCTCCAGGGCTGGAAAAAGACTACAGGGAGGCCCGCTTTCTCCTCTCCTTCTGAGCTGGGAACCAGCTCCCTCCTACCTCCTGCTCCCTGTGCCTGCAACGGGCTGAGGGGGAAGAGCAAAGCCCCAGCTCGCCACCTAACACAGGAGTTCATGCCACCTAACACCACCTAACATGGCCCGGTGTTGCCAGGATCTAAATGCAGGAAACTCATGGGCCTTAGGAAGTCAAGCCCAGGGAAACAAAAAATGTGCAGTAGTTGGTACATATTCTCACTGGCAGGACAAACTACCCTCCCAGGGTCCCACTGGGCCTGCGCTTGGCAGAACAGTCACTCCTGCTTCCCACTTCCCCAAGCCCTGTTCTCTGCCAGTGACCCTGAACAGGCAGCAGTGGCAGTAAGTTCACCACCCAATTTATTAACTAATCAGTCTCACTCTTTTCATGAATATGGCAGCTGATATAATGCCTTAACCCAGATTAAACTGCACATCTGGGACTCTAAGAGGAGAGGTAGTCACCTTGAGTGGGCCATGGATGTCCCTCAAAAAAACAGGCAGGCCAAGTGCCCCTGGGTAGGACAAACCCGAGTGTTCAAGCTTCCCCCCAGACCCTGTTTCCCCATCTCAGTCACTGGCAACTCCCATCCTTCCACTTGCTCCAGCCAAGAAACAAAATCGATGCTGACTGCTGGCCTCCTCTTCCTCTCACACCCCACACCCAAGCCATTCTGTTGGCTCTATCTTCCCAGAGAACCAGACTTCAACCCACCTCTGCACCCCAGCCCCATTGCCCTGGCTTCTCCAGTCCCTCTGCAGGCCCCTAGTCTGCCTCCACGCAGCGCTGGCTCCCGCCCTGTCCTCCCTGCTGCTGACATCTCCCCAGTTGGCAACCCCCTGCAAGGACAACAGAAGGCAGCTCCCTCACCTCTGTATTTCCTTCTTAAAACCAGAAGTCTTCAGGACAGTTGGTCAAAACTGCAGCTGCCAGGATTTAAATGCCCCTGGTGGCCCCTGGTGGTCCACCTACGAACCATGAGCCTTTTGAGGATTTTGTACAGGAACCAGTTTGAAAATAGGTCACCCAAAAAAAGTGTTGAAAAGTGTTCCTGCTGAGCAACATGAGCCAGACCCTGGGTCTAGGTGCTAGCATCGGGGAGACCAGAGATGTGTTAATAGCAA